CATGCGCCTTAGTTATAGAAGTGATTGACACCCATGTCTGTAAATTCCAAGCCCAAGGAGCCTACGCCAACAATCTGTCTATTCTCCTCTCCTTTTCCTTTAGGAGATTCAAGCCACTAACATTGCTCCCAAAATGTGTGTGAAAAGCAAAGTAATCACAGAATGAAAAATGCACCCAAATCAAATAGGAATTCAAATACTTTATCAGTTTTGAACCACCCTTCTGTGATACATCACAGCAATACAACTGCAGAGAAAACGTTTAAACATATCCTAGAAAAGACATTTGGTAGTAATAGGGAATTCAATCATTAACAAACACTTGGCAATTAAAATGCAATTAACGGGTTTAATTCCCTTTTCAATGCACAGCGGCACTTCCCATTTTAAAGTTCCTTGTTCTTGGACAGAGAATTGGGAGTTACACTCAGAAGTTTCAACCTGTTTCTCTCTCTTATTTAAGTCTGCTGAGGTCCTTAACACTAGTGCTATACAGAGAATGCTACCTGATGGTCCCGTATTGACTTCATCCTTTAATGGTAAGTCATTCATTTCAGTCGGCAATTCTTTCTGGAGGGTAATCTAGTCCTGGATGTTGACAGGTTAACTTTTATAGCTCAAGGATATACTTGTATTTGATGATAGGCTGGGTAAATTTATGTTGTACATTGTCACTGACATTAATTTCTTACTCAAAGGGGATTTGTGTATTGTGGTGGATATCTAATGTCATTGTCATGTAGAATTCAACCCTCAGACGGTACCAGATATACTAAATAACCCTTTTAAATGAACAAGAGAGTACGCCTTCTTGATTATTTGACTACTTCATCCCAAGGATAGTATATTTTGATTTGCACCCTATTTCTACTCTTCCAGTTTTTTTTTGTTATCCTTCCTGTTCTTAGTTCATATATCAGTGACAATTTAAACAGTCCCTGTCTCTGATCATAACATCCCTGCCTCTGTCATAATAATAAGTTTCGCCCACAAAGTATACAGTCAATTCACTTTAGGGTGCATTCTGTGAAGCACTTTGAAACGTCTTAGCAATGTGATAACAACAAGATTACAATTGTATAGCGCCTTTCACATCGGGAGGATGTCCTAAGGTGCTGGATAAGGCGCTATATCAAATGAAAGGATGAGTATTATCATTATCTCATGTTCTTGATCATACATTTTTGTCTCTGTCATAATCGCCTGTTCCTTAGGTCATCCAAAGCCAAAATGTTGAAGCTGAATTTTGAACTGAAGGATAATAAATTGATGGATTTACTGAGATGACAGACTTATAGTTGTTTTAATGTAGTTTGGAAATAGTCTGCTCTTCAACGCAATTTTGGAAACTCTAAATTTACCCAAACTAAGTTTGGATAAATTGTTAACTTCACATTGAGGAAAAAAAGTAACTAGAACTGAATGGTTAAGAGCAATAGTAAAAGAGGTGAGAATGGTGCAGACACACAGGGCATGGTGAACCTGATTTTATTGCATATGGATCTGTTAAAGCTAAAGTTAATTTACGAAGCCATGATTCAGGAGGTAAAATTCCATTTTGCAAAGTCTGACAAAAAGGTTTTGGCCATAAGGATTATGTAAGTACAATCCTAGGTTTTATAAACAGGGGAAAATAATATACATTAAAGAAATAATGTTAAATTTGTATAAATTATTAGTTAAGACTACAGTGAGAATATTGTGTCCCGTTTCGGTCACCCACTTTAGAAAAGTGGTCGAGGCAGTATTGCAGGAGAGGTTTATTAGGATGATACCAGGGATCAGTAGTTTAGTCTATGAGCAGAGACTGGAGGAACTGGGACGTTTTGGTTGGAACAAAGAAGGTTGAGGGGTGACTTGATAGAGGTCATTAAAATTAAGCAAATGGGGAGGTTTGTAGAATTTTTTTTCTTGAATAGTTGGATAATAACACGCCTAATAATAATCCCTCCAAAAACAAAACAATAATAAATTGGTCATTTTCAATCTACGACTGTTTGTGGGACATTGCTGTGCGCAATTGGCTGCCGCGTTCGCCCACAAATATACAGTCAATTCACTTTACAGTGTGTTCTGTGAAGCGCTTTGGGACGTCCTCCCGACGTGAAAAGCGCTATATCAAATGCAAGGATTATTATTATTATTATTATTATTATTATAATGGATGCCCTGCCAGGAGTGGTGGTTGAGGTGAAATCCGTATTATCTTTTAAAAGTGAATGAGATAAATACCTAAAAGGGAGTAAGCTACAGGGGTATGGGGGAAAGTCACGTAGGTAAGACTGAAAGGATTGCTCAGTCGTTAACCTAGTTTCCTTTAGTGATTACATCAACCGTTAATGTTATTTCTGCTCCCTCATAATATGGGATTACTAACTCCTGGATCAGTTTTGGCTATTACATCACCAACTAACATAAAAAGACATGTAGATTTGTGATGGTTTGATCATTGAAAGGAGTGCTTTTCGAGTTATTATAATTAGTTCACCTCAGTGAGACACACAACTGTAAAATCCTTCAAGATCAATGCTCCATCAAAAACTTTTTGTGAAAATGTGTGTGCAACGTTAAAGCTTACAGATGCCTGGCATGTTTGCTGCATGGGCAGCACACTCAGATGTGCACTAGTACTCTGTCCCTGCCTTTGATATAGGTGTCTTCAGGTCTTTCAAGTAGAACCTTTGAGACATTTTAATTACCAGTCCCCAAAGAAATGTTAATTTGTATACTAAAAGTAAACTTTCAGAGATAGAGTTAAAGGTATACATGAGCTACAGCCAGAATAAAGTTTTTTTAAACTTCTTTTATTTTAGTCTATGATCAAAACAAAACTGTTAGTCATTTGTATTTTATGGGTTAGTACTTGTATGGATAAATACAATGGTTATTCATTGTTAAATTCTCTTCATTGACTTTTAAGCTGCATTGGTTAATGAGGAAAATACTGCATATCTATAACCACATTGTACTTGAATACCATATAAGAAACTTTGAGGCTTTTTAAAGTATTTGAAGCTATGAAAGGAAGCCATTATTGAGTTTGTGATCTTAACCATCATGAACCCAAAACATGCAGTACTATAACACAGGCCATGACATACTGGAGCAATGAACTTTAATGTGCATGATTAATTTCAGGACCCCATAGATGATAGGTGTGGGTTAGACATTTTTCCCAATTCATGCCATTCAATAAGTTATCAATGCTTTGCATATCTGATAAATTGAACCCTCTCTCAGGTAAAATGGAAACAAAAGGATTTAAAATTGCAGGATTTTCTTTACTGAAAGAAGTCATTGACTGCAATCAGTGTGCCGAATTGCAATCTAATAGAAAAGCTGAACAGAAAAAGGTTTTACTCTGTGAATGTAAAATTTTATATGAATTTGAAGACAAGCTTTTACATGTTAATTGCTGCTATCCTTGTTCCATATCTGCATTGTACGTTAGTGTTTGGTTGTGTTGCTTAGATCACACAAGCTTTGCTTTACAACATCACCTCAACACACTCAGTAAAATATATATCATAATGTAAGCAGCATAACATTATCAATTGTAAAGGCCTGGATTCGATGATCAGCAATACAAATGTTAGTTGTACAGGGTTAAATGGGTAATCATGACCATCAGTCTGAGGGTGATCACATAGCATGTTGTCAGGCAAACAAATACAGAAACAAAAACAGAAGTCGCTGGGAACACTCAGCAGGTCAGGCAGCATCTGTGGAGAAAGGAAAGTGAGTCAACGTTTCTGCCGAAGGGTTTTGGACCCGACACATTGATTCACTTTCCTTTCTCCATAAATACTACCTGACCTGCTGGGTGTTCCCAGCGAGTTCTGTTTTTGTTTCAGATTTCCAGCATCTGAGTATTTGAGTTTTGTTTAAACAAATACATTTATCAGCTTTATGTGCCAATTGTTTGCTCACTTTATGTTAGTCTATGTTGACATTTCTAATTTATAACCTAATTTCGATGCTTCTCTCCTCTCCCTCATTATTTTGCATCTCTATTGGTGTATTGAGTTATTTCTTAGAGAAAAGCAATAAATTGGTGATGATACTGGTATCCAGTGATGAAAATGAGATTTATTGTTTCCAATGTTAATGTGTAATCACAGTATGTTATTGTTTTTGTTTTCTTATCTCCAACTGTGTGATATACTTGTGTTTAGTTTACTACCTTGTGCTCCCTTAGGATTCTGCAACATACTTGGGAAGTTTGATAATCTTCCCAGATTTGGTAGAAGCAATTCTTTCTTCACAACTTAACTTACTTCGGTGGTCAACCTCTGATGATTCTGGCACAAAAGTCAGAGTGTTTTTTATGCTTTGAGAAGGCAACAGCAGTAGCACCCCTGTATCTCTCCAAACTGCTGTCTCTGTACACTGCTACCCGCTGCCTCCACTCAACTATCTCCGGCCTCCTCCTTGTCTTCCAGACCTTGCAATCCACCAGCTTCAGCCATTCTTTCAGCTACTACGCCCCGAAGCTATGGAACTCTTCTTCAATCCCTTTGCCTTGCCCCTCTTTTCTCCATTTTTAGTTTGCGCTATATAAATGCAAGTTGCTCTTGTTGTAGGATCATCTGCAAATTATATTTTTTAAATTTTGCAAGTGTGGATGCTTGTGACATTTAGGGGGAAGAGTTTAATGTGGAGCACCCCCCACCCCCTCAAAGTCCTCTGGGACGCTACACTACGTGAGGGGCGCTTTATAAGTGCAAATTGTTGTTGTGTTTGGAGCACCTCCATTAAACTGTACTATTGTATATAATTCCCTAAAGGGGGCCTTGATTGTACCAGTGGGCCTCAGAACAACTGAGACATACGCTGTTGTGCTGTATAAATTTTAAGAATTGGACTAGTGCATGGTTGTGGGAAGAGAAAATTGCCAAGGGAAATCTATCCTAATCCATAAAATGCATATTCATTATTAATAATATTAAGAGTTTTTTCAGTGAGGCCAGCCAGATCTTGTCTACACTCAAAACACTTACTGCCAACAGGTACTGAAACAAGCCGAGATGTGATGCTGTTGGTTACAACTCTGCTTGCTGGGTTGAGACTGCCTTTCACTCTGCATACTCTTCAAAATGTGTCCCTCCAGCTGAGAAGCAATATCATACTGGTGAGAACACAGCAGGGAAGAAAAAAGGCAAAAATTAGACATAGAATGTACTGGCAAGGAGTGTCCACTAATTGAATGTAATACTTGGCAGAGATGAGAAATGCAGAATGCTGATATTTGTAACTGAGTTCAGAGACAGACTAAAATGGTATATAATTGGGAAATACTACAACAGGAAGGATCTAATTTACCTTGTCGTCTTTTGGGGTAGTCAAATGAATAGTTGTTGCTAGAGTGACAAGCTGTCTACGCCACTCCCAAACATGTTACAAGTTTTCTTTTCATCTCTCATTTCATTGGGGAGTTTTTTAAAAAAAGTGACAGTGGAAAAACCACTTCATTAACTTGCCTTCGCTTGCCCAATCAGTTTAGTAGACAAGACAAAGAAAAAAAGTTACTGCTATCAAGGCTACCTGAATAGATTTTTGGCTACTCATTATTAATATTGAATTGAATACAATTATTCCATTATTAATAATGCAGCTGTCAAGTCTGACTCATTTTAAAAATGAACTCAGGTCTATATGTTGAAATGGATCTACAAGGTTCGTCACACTCACCGATCATAAATGTTACCTCTTCAGCTACAATAGTTTACATTTATATAGCACTTTTGACATTGGGAAAACATCTCAAAGCGCTTCACATAATTGACTCAGAGCCTGAGCTGGGGAAGGGAGAGGTGGCCAAAAGCATGGTTGAATAGAAAGGTTTAAGTCTTGTTTTGAAGGTGGAGAGTACAAGGCGGAAGGACTCTAAGATGAGGTTCTTATGGGAGTAGGAAAGCTGAATGCTCACCGACTGATGGTAGTTAAATGACATGAAACAGGTAGGTGTTAATAATAATAATAATTCTTGCACCTTTTACATTAGAAGAACATCTCAAAGTCCGTCACAGGATTTCAATAAGAACAATCCTTAAAATGCTTCCATTGGATATAGCATCTTTGACATTGGGAGGATGTTCCAAAGTACTGCACAGGATATACTGTGAAGTGGAGTGACTGTGTGTTTTGTGGACGAACATAGCATCCAATTGGAACTTTTATTTTAAAGTGTAGTGACTGTGTATTTTGTAGGCAAACACGGCAGCCAATTTGTGCATATTAATATCCCACAAACAACCAAGAAATGAATGACTGGTATTATTTGGTGATTGATGGCCAGGAAACTAGGATACACATAGTGCTATGGGAACTTGAAAGTCTACCTGAACAGACAAACAGGACCTTAATATCTCCTCTGAAGGACGGGACCTCCAACAGTGCACCACACCTTAAGCCCTGCACTGGACTAGTCCACAGAGTCCTAAGGTGGACCTTGAACCCACAACCATCTACCAGGACTGTGGAGTCCTTTAGCTCAGTGGTTAGAGCACTCGCTTTGCAAGTGAGAGACCTGAGTTCAATTCCAGGCAGAGGGCGAAACCTTGGGCAAGTTTCCTTACTCCACACAGAGCCTAATAATAATCCCTCCAAAACAAAAACAATAATAAATTGGTCATTTTCAATCTACGACTGTTTGTGGGACATTGCTGTGCGCAATTGGCTGCCGCGTTCGCCCACAAATATACAGTCAATTCACTTTACAGTGCGTTCTGTGAAGCGCTTTGGGACGTCCTCCCGACGTGAAAAGCGCTATATCAAATGTAAGGATTATTATTATTATTACCAACAACGCTAATGTTTGCCTCAGTGCAGTAGTAAAATACAAGTCAGTGAAAAAATCCGAGCCAGTGAAATAAACTAGGTTGTGCTAGAGTATTAAGACCAGCATCACAAAATCCACACGACGTTCATTCATAAGGCCTTCAAATACATATTTTACCCTCCGACATGGATTGACCTGGGAGGAAAACCTTTTCCTTTTTTTAGAATCAAAATGTCAAATCAAGAATTGTATTTTCTTCGATCCAATCAAACAGTCCCTTTTATATATATATATATATATAAAACAGGCAATGCTTAGCATCAGCCCAATCTGCTGCCGGTCTCCCGAGGCGATCCCTTCGACAGGAGAACAGCAGCCCCTGAGGCTGCGGTGGGTAAAATAAAGTGGGCGGCTTTTGTTTCAGAAATCAACACAAACGGCCACCGGAAAACTTCTGTCCCGATATCGACAGTAGCACTGATGTCGTCGACCCCGCCTCGATATCACTGTCTTCGTCCTCCCTCCTCCTCCTCCTCCTTCCATCTTCCTCCTCCTCTCTGTCTCGCTCTCTCCACCTTATTAACACGCGCCCCATCTCCTCTCCCCCACTCCATTCACCATTACACTCCTCCCTCCCTCCCTCCCTCTCTCTCTCTCACCCCCTTTCCTCCTCTTGCCCCCCCCCCCCCCCCAGCTGTATATGCACAGAAACCTGAGCCCATCCTCACTGAAGTACACACAGGGTTTTTGTCAGGTTTCTGGCCCAAAGTCAACCGAATGCTCGCCCAAAAGTAGCCCAATATTATGCGCTCCTCCTACAGATTTAGGTCAGTGCTTTGGAAACTTGTGGGTTTTTTTTTAAAAAAAAGGCCTTCAAAGGGGTGGGCGGGTGTGGGGGTGGGGGGGCACGTTTTACGGGTTTAAATTAATTTTTTTTAAAATGAAGCAGCCCCCCCCCCGTCCGTCCGGAGCCGTTTTTTCCCCCCCCCACCCCGCCCAATACAACGCAAAACACGCCCAATTGGGCGGGAACCAGCCCCAACCCGGCAACACTGAGGGCAGGAGCCAATCACGGTGGTCCTTCCCTCCAGCCTCATGACGTCTGGCCCAGACGGGGAGGCTGCGCGCGCACCACCGGTTGCTGCCAAGTGTGGGAGCCGGATTCCGGAGCGGCGTTTCCCAGTCCCCCCTCTCCCCCTCCCTCCCTCCCTCCCTCCCGCCTCTCTCTCTCTCTCCTCTCTCCCCCACCGCCCCGAGCGCTGCTTTCGTGACAGGTTTGACAAGTCCGTTCAGAATAAAGCGGCGGCAACAATAACAACTACTGACCGCAACCAACACCGCCGCTGAGCCGAGGCTCTTTCACGGAGGTGCTGACAGCTAAAAGCCGTTGTGGGCACAGCAGTACACAGAGGGTGTTTATTCCTCTCTCTCTCTCTCTCGCTGTGAGGAGGAGGCGGTGCTTGTGGAGTACCGGAGGCGACTGGGACGGACGGACGGACGGGGGGTGGGGGAGAGAGGACCGGTGCGGTCGGCGAGCGCCGGCTGAGGGAGACGGTTGGCGGCGCGCGCAGGCTGGGCTGGGCTGGGCTGGGCTGCCCAGGGTTCCCGCCTCGCCTCTGCCGGCGGCTCGAGCGGAGCCCGGGGTAACGGGCAGCGGCGGCTCGAGCGGAGCCCGGGGTAACGGGCAGCGGCGGCTCGAGCGTTTGCTCCCGGCGGCGGCGGCGGCGGCTTCGCATGGAGGCGCGCTTCAGTTCAGCATAAACCGCCTTCCCGTCTGTACACCCAACCACCGTCAGCTACACACTCTCCCCCCTCACCCTCACCCTCCCTCCCTCCTCACCCTCCCCCCCCCCCCGCCCGCCGGGGCTGTACGAGCCCCGGAGAAACTGCTGAGCGGCGAGCTGACAGCTGGACGGAGACCCAAAGCGCCTTCGCTCACTCCCCCCCCCCCCCCCCCGCACCTCACAGCCCTCCCTCTCTCCCTCCCTCCCGCCCGCCCGCCCGCCCGCCCCTGGTGTCCCGGCTACAGGTGTGAGAGTTAGTCGCCGCTTCCCCGCCGCCGCCTCCCTTCCCCTGGTCTCGGCCCCCGATGGTTTCGCCCGTGTGAGCCCGCGGTCGCCTCCTCGGGAAGGCGCCCCCGGACGCGTGTTTGATGTCCGGCCGCCCCCCCGCGCGCCCGCCGGGCCGCGGCCCCACAGGGATGTTCGCGGCGGCGGAGCAGGGCCCTGTGCTGTGCAGCGACTCCAACATCCTCTGCCTGTCCTGGAAGGGCCGAGTGCCCAAGAGCGAGAAGGAAAAGCCCGTCTGCCGGCGCCGTTACTACGAGGAAGGCTGGCTGGCTACCGGCAACGGCAGAGGGGTGGTCGGCGTGACTTTCACCGCCAGTCACTGCAGGAGAGAGCGCAGCACTCCGCAGAGGATCAACTTCAACCTCCGAGGCCACAACAGCGAGGTGAGACTCGGGCTTCAAAACGCTCTGCTGCCGGAGTCGGTGGTGGGGGGTAAACGTTGCACGGCCCTGACTTTTGGACCATCAGCGGTGGGCGGTGGGGGGTTCACAAACAGCAGCGGCGGCTTTCACGTTAGATAGCGTTGCCCCCAATCGTCAGCGGGTGAGAGGCATTGACTCAACCGATGGTGAAGAAGCCCGAAAGCTGCCGTGTCACCGGCACAAACGTTAACATTTCTAACCTTTGCATCCTAACAAAACCGTTATATTTCCACATTTCTTGCCCCCCTCCCCTCCCCTCCCCCCAGAAATCCAGTCCTTTTTTGTAAAAACAAGTCTTTGGTGGTTTGGGTGCTGGTGGCTCCTCTTGTTAAACAAACCAGGTGCGTCTTCTTTCCGACTTTACATGTAGATATCTACCACAACTGTAAATTGTCTTATCTGCTACTACAAAGCAGATCCTACAGTAATTCTGAACCGATAAACTTTCGTTTAAAATAATGTTTCTTATCCAATGCTGCCTGGTACTATCTTACAAAAATGATTATTCCCAGGATAGTTGTCATTTGAAGACATTTTTTAGATATTGCTCAGCCATTAATTCAACCTCTGAGATTGGACGACAACACTGTCAAAACTGCTTGAATGTTTGGTTGTTTTTCTGTTTTGTGGCGCTTTTTGAAACTTCTCCATTCAGTTTCTACTTTCAAAATTCACTTTGAAGAATCAATTATCTTCTATCATTCTTGTTTTTACCTTTTGCTTGTTATTTTGACTTCATAGGTGTTAAAGTGCAAGTCCTTACCAATAGTGCATTTAAGTAAATGAATCCCAGTATGACATTGGTTATTCAGTTAGCTACACGTGTAGAATCTTGTACGGTATCATAATAATCCTTACATTTGATATAACGTCTTTCATGTCATTGAGACGCCTCAAAGTGCTTCACACGATATAGTGTAAAGTGGATTGACTATGTATTTTATGGACAAAACGTGGCAACGTTGACACAGCAAATTCACACAAACAGCCATGGAGTGAGTGACCAATTTTATTTGGGGACTTGTTGGCCAGGACACCGGGAGAAATGCCCTTCTCTTTTAGAATAGTGCTATGGGAGCTTTAACGTCCACCTGAACAGGCAGCTGGTACTTCGGTTTAACAAATCACTCAAAGGACGTCACCTCCAACAATGCAGTACCCCCAGCACTGCATTGGAGCGTGAGCTTAGACCATATGATTCCAAGTCTCGACATGGAGCTTGACTCAGAGGCAAGAGTGCGCCAGACTGACATATAAATTATGGCCATATAATTGAACCCCATGTTGGTTCAACCACTGTCACAAATATCTGAGACAATAAACAAGAAATGAAAGAGCTGTTTATTGATGAAGATGACACAGACAGAAAGGTTACTGCGATTATATAGTGGATGAATTTCATGGAAATTTACAATGACATGATGTTTGGGGCTGCAATGTTTGCTATCATCATGGTATATCTGTACTTTCAAGTACATAAATCATTTTGCAGAAGCCTAAAAAGATGAAAATTGAATGATGACATAGCAATATAAATGCATCAAACAGATCAAGCAGCAGTCGCAGAGATCTGGAGAAGGTTTCCCATTTCCACTTGTGTCTGGGAAGTGAAAGAAGCTGAAGTGTCTTGTTTGGAAATATTGACTAATATTGAATGGATAACGACATTGGTAAACTCTGCCATTATTTGTTTACACAAGTTAAAATGTTTGTGGTGAGACCATAATCCATTGGTTACTTAATTTTGCAAATTCAGGATTTAAATTTCATTAAAATGGTCTGTTTTTCCAAACATAAATTGTATAAGAAACACTGACTGTCCAGCGCCTCGGGACGTCCTCCCTACGTGAAAGGCGCTATACAAATGTAATTTTGTTGTTGTTATAAAGAGACATGACATCTATCACTTTTTGCATAAACTTTCTTTTGCCAAATATTTTCATTTTTGTATGTGATATGTTTTTATTGAAATTGGGGTCTCAAGACAGAGATGTGTAATATGTGTGTGCATTGCATGCAAACATTTTAGCAAAAATGGATTTCACACTTAGTTTCTCATTAAAACTTAGTAAAAGCTGAGATGTGTTATAATGAAAAATATTCAAACAACAACAAATTACAGTTGTATAGCGCCTTTCACGTCAGGAGGACGTCCCAAGGCGCTGGGCAGTCAGGGATTTGGACCCGAGCAGGGAGTTGGGATCAGGAGGTGTGGAGGATAGGGGTAGGTAGGTGACTGAAGGTATGGTCAACTAGGAGAGCAAGGCAAGAAGACTGTGGGATGGAGTTCCAAAGAGTGGGGGCAAAAAGACAGAAGGCCTGACCGCCGATGGTCGGGCGGGCCGGGTACGGGACGTGGAACAGGCTGGCTGGAGCCTGCTGAGCAGAGGGAGTGGCAGGTTGATTTGGTGTTAGCAGGTCACAGAGCAAGGAAGGAGCAAGGCCATGGAGGGCTTTGAACAAGAGGTCGAGGATTTTGAACTCCATCCTCTGGGCATGGGGAGCCAGTGGAACCGGGCGAGAGTGGAGGCGATAGGTTCACAGAGCCTGTGCGGGAGAGGACGTGAGCTTCAGAGTTCTGGATGATCTGCAACTTGTGGAGAGAAGAGTTGGCAAGGCCGACAAGCAGGGAGTTGGCGGAGTCGAGCCTAGATGTAATAAATGTGTGGATGAGGACTTTGGCGGCTGAGGGGAGAGGCAGTAGTGGAGTTGGGCAATATTGTGGAGGAACTTGAAAAGGATGAGAATTGCATTTGTGGGAGCTTCAAAGTACTGTAATTAAAACTGGAAACTTTTTGCTTGCTTGGGTTGTAAATTTTTACTCATTTTCCAAATGGCTATTTTGTTTAGCCTGATTGTTTTTGGTTAGCCAGGTGTCTGACCCATGCCGAAACTCATCGCCATGCTTAAAGAATACCCGAACCAGACTGAGAGTACTGTGCCTGCATCCACCTGTGGAAATTCTCATGTCTGGAATGGAATACATGCTCTCTCCCCAAAGGGATGTACCTACCTTGAGGTTGGCAAAAGCCAAGACTTGGGGAACCGAGATTGTGTGTTCCAGTGTCTGGAGTTGTCAACTTTTTTTCCTTATTTTCCAGATGGCTATCTTGTTTATTGTGATTGATGTTGCAAAATTGTTTGAAGTAATTGGTGGTTTGAATGTATTATGAGGTTGATAGGAGTGTTTTAACTCTTCACCTTTCTACTTTATTAATGCCCATGATACTTCATTACAACAAAATCTAACTCGCCTATGAATATAATATATAGGGTGACTCTGTTTTGTCATCCTGTCAAATCTGGCTACATGTACTTTTTTTAAAAAAAATTAACCTCACCACAATTCCTGGTACTGGGAGTACTCGAGAAGCTTGGTAGATTAACGGCTGTGTTTCTATGATGAGTTATTTATTTTAGTTTTTATTGTTGCTCAGTTTGTTGCTGAACTCAAAACCAGGCAAACTTGTCCAGGGTCACAATAACTCATCCCGGGACTGTCTGCGGTAATCAGGGATGTATGGTCATCCTACTTATGGAGCCAGTAGCTCAATTCCGTTTTTCAGACCAGATACAATGGTGCACATACAACTTAGGCAATTATGATTTATAACGGGACGACTTGGGCGGTGTAACTAAGACTTGGCTTTCAAGCACGCTTGTTAATTTTTGTTTGCCAGAATATATTGAAATAGGATAGAAAAACAACATGGCAAGAATAGTTAGTAAAAGCTTTGGGACTATTAGAAAATTGCCCTGTATGTAAACTAATTTGTGTTGGATAATATCTGTATGATAAATTTAATATTGGGTGACTGTTTGTTTGGATATAACAAGTTCTTTGCTTGCTGCTGTATATTTTTGTAGTAATAAACAAAATTTCAATAGCAGAGAAAAGTAATGGATGTGTGCTTGTAATTTTGAAGTGCAATGTTATTTGGGGGCTTAAACTGTTCTTAGATTAAATATTTAAACTCTTGATGAGTCTTTGATGAAATTACTGTTTCTCGATGTGTATTACTATTTCTTGTATTTTGCTGCCACAAAATAAATGTCCTCATATACATCAGTACTACAGGTAAATTCACATAAATCGTATCAGTTGACTTAACACAACTTGCGCGGAGTTGTGTAAAGTTTGCCTTTTGTGGTACCATGATGGTGCTTTCAGAGCCAGTGCCTCTTTTAGATTTCTATTTAAATTTCTACATTATTACAGACATCCACTTGACATTTTTAAGCAAAGAATAAATCCAGTACCTCGAGCTGTCTTTGGGCCTTTACATTGTACAGTACCATGATGACGGGTCATGACCTCATTTCCCGCTCTTGTTTCAATGCAGCACTGCACCTATGGTACATCATCAATGCAGCTTGTAAGTGCAGTAGTGACAATATGAGTTGGGAGACGATTTGCATTACAATTTAGGATTAATTGGGACCAAAAAAACCTTATAATTAGCTGTTTATCCAACTTGTAAAATACAACTAGTGCAAAAAATCTATTTATGTGTTTTTTGGTAGGAAAATGAATGGGACTTGGGTGCACGTACAACTTCGGCAATTATATGATTTATAACGAGGCGACTTGTGCGGATTTATCTGGATTTAAAAGATGAATTATGAGTGGGTCACTTGTCTGCATTACATTGTCAACCAAGTTCATTTAATAGCACTTTCGCTTCTCAATCAGAAAGTTGTGGTTTGAAGCCCCGAGTTGGGACTTGAACTGACACTCAAGTGCAGTGCTGGTGGAGCACTGCCCAGAGGTGACGTTCTTCAGATAAGATGTTAAATTGAGGTAATCTTTGATGTCCGCTTGATTGTTCAAGTGGCCGTTAAAGGTCCTCCATGATGTAATGTCACCCTTTCAGGACTGCCAGATTGATCTGGATGAAAAAAGCAGTTCAGCTCATTTGATCTCATTCCTCCGGATCACCCACCCTATGGTCCCTTCATTA